ATTTTTCTGAAGAGAATTGGCTGTAACTTTTTAAGTAGGAGTAAATACATTTATAATTGACACACACTTGTTTGACCTTTGAGTAATCGACATCAATAAGGAAAATGGAACAAATATATCAAGCAATTATGCACCGTATTATTTATAAATATTAGGTTCGATACTGTTAATTGCAATTGACTTATATTACTTATTTAAAAACCGATAAACATAACAGTTTCCAGGTAAATAACTTGATAGATTACTCGGTTATCTGTGTCCAGCGATATCTTTATGATATAAAATTTGTATTATCTCGTCTAAAGATTTGATAACTGTATTAATTATGTGATTTAAATATGTTTCAAGGAAAATACGACTTAATATCCTTATATGGACCCGACTGTTCAATAAGCGTGTACGTGATTCATTTCTTCATGAACAGATTAACGTTACTGGTTTGAAAACCTTTTTAAATAATGTCTGTTATCATTCTTACCAAAACTTGATTTACATGATACTATTAATTCAAAAATCAAAATAAGTTTGTTTCATTACTCACTTTTGAAAATAAGTCTAGAACTTAATAAATATTGATGATACCTAAGAAGATATTTTCTTTCTATGCAAACCTAAAAGCAAATATGCTTATAACCCTAAAATCCACAAAACGACAGATATCAACTACCACAGAGTAATAATAATAAAGACATGTATCTTTATACATAATTAGTTTTTAGTAATATGTAATGGCAATTCTATTACTAATATGTAGTTGAATATCTGATAACAACATTTAACTTCTATCAAATTGTTTTAAATGCGTAAGTTCTATTAAAAAAGAAGCTGCTGAAGTTAATTGAGGTGTTACGTACCTAATTCTAAGACTAGAATATGGAATAATACTGATTAAAAGATATCATAAATCTTACTAATGATCTCAGGCCCGGATCTCGGGTGGGGGGCAAGTGGGGGCATTTGCCCCGGGCGCCTATATCAGATTGGTGCCAAAATCATTATAACTTATTATAGTAAAAAAATAGCTTTACATAATGTCTTTTAAAATGAATTCATAGACATAGGCTACGATGGAACGGACATCTCTTCAAAGTTCACAAATTAAATTAGGGGGAGGAGGTGCAAGGACGCAATTTCAAGTTTCTGTTCCGGTAGGAAAAAGTTGTAGATCGGGACTCGAATGAACACCTAAAAATAGATTCATAGTGTAATATTTTTTTTTATTTCATTAACTTACATGACACAGTCCAAAGTCCCAATTATGACAAAAAATATTAAATGATAAATTATTAATTATCTCCTGTTTCCCATTCATAACAAAATGTAAACGACTGTTTTCGTTACAATGACTTACTGCTTATTATTGGGCGGGGAAAGAGCATTCCCGGCATTCTCGACGACATTCACACCGCCGCCACCGCCGCTGGATTTCGAATTATCGGTCACTTTCACAGAATCTTGTTCCGTCATTATTGAATCCTTCGATTAAAGTTCACAACACTACAATAAAAAAAAAGAAAAATCTCCTTATTTTACCAATCTTACAAGGCACAATTTTATATTCCTTTGCAACGTAAAATTAGAAAATAAAGGATTTTTCTTTGCTTTTTTTAAAGTTTGATTCACACTAATGCACTAGATAAAAGAGTTTTTTTAAGCTACGGTTTCTCCTTGCAAGGACTCTCGACGAAATGATCGAATGCTATACGTTATCGCAAAATGAATAATCCTGTTATCATTATCAATAATTATTGTTAGATATAATACTTAAATTGCTTCATTTCTTTTACGAATAGCGCCAAAGCTGATAACAAAGTGTTGTAATTTATATCAGTTTATTACTTTGCCAAACATTTGGAGATCAATGATATTTTGAATACATGTAGACGGCGAAATTTTCACTTAAAACACGCCTTATTCACTGTTTTACTTTTCTTACGGGCGCTTGTGCACTACACTGAATTTTCAGGTCCGGCGGTCCGATTTTTTCCGGTCCGGAATGACATGAAAAACTCGGATGAGTAGCTTGTGCACTTGTCCGTTTTTTTCCTGATCGGAGCGGCGCAGTGTAGGGCAGCTCTCTTTGAAGCTACACGTCACTTACACTAGGTACGATGAGATTTTTGGAACGTCGGTTATTCCGTTCGAAGGCATAGAAAGGTACCTAAATAATGGTCTGATCGTTTTACATAAACCACAATAAATTATGGCAAGACGAAAGCATTTTTTTTACTATCGGATGACTACTATCAGATGTAAAAACTTATACCCTTACTAATTTAGGAACAGCATTATTCACATACAATAGCTAAAAATATCTGTGACATTAGAATAAAATTACTGATAATGGTCTAGTACTTGATGTTTAAATTTTTAAACGTGCTATTTTTTTTTTCGAAGTTTTGTAAAAACAACTTTCAGCGATTACAGAGATAGACCAATCGGTGGCGCCATTTCGTAAACAAATCGAAATTAGTGCCGTGTTAGCGGAGAATTATTATGCTAAATTAACTTTACGAGATCAGTTGACTGTATTGTATATAGGCATAATTTTATATACGTGGTGTAGTTTCTTTGAGCAGAAATATTATTCCCTTAGAATACTTCTTTTTTTAAAATTTATTAATGACACAAACATACATTTAAAATTTTATTAAATACGAAAAAGACATTGAGTGTCACTTAATTACTTTTGTTAGTCTTCTGTTTATTCTTTATTATTCCTCCTGTTGTCAAATATTTATCTATACTTATCAATTGTCTAAAAAAAATTGATAATGACAAATTTCCAGGCAAACTTTCATCCCTTATTTTTCGCGATAAAATGTAGCCTATGTCTTTAAGTTAAGTCTATTTACTATATTAATTTCCATTTAGATGGGTTCAGTTGTTTAGGCGTCTAAGCGTAACAACACTTATTTGTCTTACCTTAAACTATCGATACTTTTAATACGATTCTAAAATCTAGCTAAGTATCGATATTAGAACCATACGCTGATCAAAATAGAACTATACCGAGTTTGCCAAAGCATATGCAGTGATATTTACCAACTATATAAAATCATCATATAAAATATAACATTTTATAATCTACAATAAATATCGATTATAAGTTTATTGGAAATTAACAATATCGCTGAAATAAATATCGATTATACACAAATCGATTATTTTTTCCCAAGCCTATTCTTTATGAATTTTCCGGATCTCGGACACAGCAGTGCACAAGCGTAAATACGTTTTTCATTGCCGCCATCACGGATCTGAAAAATCCGGTCCGGAATAGAGAAAAGTAAAATCCCGGACGGTAAAATTCCTGACAGTGCACAAGCTAGCATTACTTTTATATGGCCTGACATATCGGACCTGAAAAAATCGGACCGCCGGACATGAAAATTCAGAGTAGTGCACAAGCGCCCTACCAGTATGCGATCAATCATTTTTTTAAAACATAGCCCAAAGTAACCACGGAACTTATCAAAGCCACGGAAGCGCTGCCAATACTATAAACTTTTTGGCCATGACATGCGATGAACTCTTTAAAAAAATATTACAAGGCGTCATCATTGACTATACCCAGGTTCTAGACCAGTTGGGGCAAATCATAATCCTAGGCCGCCAACTTTTAGCGATAACAATAGATATTTAGTAAGTATTTAGATATATAAATCACTCTATTCCAATTAAATAAGCAATGACTTTGAGTGTATCTTTTGGCCGGTTTACATTACAACGATAGCGTAGCGTATAGACCGCGCAGTTCGTTTGTAGGTATACTTTCTAGACCAGTTGGGGCAAATCATAATCCTAGGCCGCCAACTTTTAGCGATAACAATAGATATTTAGTAAGTATTTAGATATATAAATCACTCTATTCCAAATAAATAAGCAATGACTTTGAGTGTATCTTTTGGCCGGTTTACATTACAACGATAGCGTAGCGTATAGACCGCGCAGTTCGTTTGTAGGTATACTTTGTCGAACGTCCGTTCTACGATCACTTGCCTAATGCAAGTGATTGTTCTTAAAAAAACTACTTACGCTAATTTATACGCTATGTGTATTATTAATAAACAAAGTTTAGCGTTGGAGTAAATTTACGCTGAGACTGCACTTAGTATTAGTCAAAATTCATATTATTAAAAAGAGACTTAGTAAAGGTTAACCTAGTAAGAGGTTCTATAGGAGTAATATTTACTCCTAAAGGGTAGTTCTTAGTATGTTTACTTATTCTTTGTATAATATGAATTTGGACTAATACTAAAATTGCAATTTTAGCGAAAATTTACTCTGATGCTAAACCTTGTTTATTAATAGCCCTGTATATGAATATAATATACCGTGTGAATCGTGGTCTTGAAACGCTCCTATTTTTTTTAAATCGGCATGGGACAGCCTGGCTCTCGAAAACAATAAAAGCATACTTGTATCACTTTTTAATACTATAAAGTAGAGTAAAAATCTAATCAATAACTGATTATCTAGCTTAGCATATGGTGAGAATTAAGTTTTTAAAACAGATTTTAATTATAACTATATTTCTTAAATTTATTATAAATTACAAATACAAGTAAATCATTATGTTTCAATAAAATTTTAAATGTACCATTCTTGGCGTATTGACAATTCCGTAATTCTATTCATTTGTTAATAACCTCTTCGATTTTGAAGTCGGTTAAAAAAGTAAAAAAGGACTAATGTAATATATATAATACATGTAATAATATATAAATTAAAAAAAATATATATAATACATGTAACTCTTACATTAACTCAACTATATATTGACGACTACGTAAATTTGACAATTAATTTTCAATGATATGTATACAAAACAATTTTTCGGTCTTTATTTTGGTTATTACACACTACAAATAATCAATGTTCACTAATTTAAGTATGTACAAAGCAATATCTAAAGCTATTACAAGTAGCTCTCGTAAAATTATGGTGTATTACATTTTAATAATGAAGATAGGTGTTATAGTAGCTTTAAAATCCTTTTATGATGAAGTAGCTTTCGTAGAATTATCAGTAACCTTTGTGGTTACCCTGTCGTCCTCTCTTTCAAATAAGTAGTTGGTGTTTTGGGTAGTACTGCTGCTGTACGCGACGCTTGCTGGTTGACCATAAGCTTGGCCGTAACTCGGCTGTCTGTTGGATTGTTGGCCGTAGTTGGGCTGCCTGTTGGCTTGTTGGTCGAAGCTAGGTTGGCGGTTGGCTTGTTGCTCGTAGCTAGGTTGGCGGTTGACTTGTTGGTCGTAGCTAGGTTGGCGATTGACTTGCTGATTGTATTGACCATATGCACTCGGTTGGCGGGTGTCTCGATCGTCCCCTTTTGGGATGCCACTGTAATGTGAAAATATATAAAATGAAATTTTATTTAGGTGATTTTAGCTGGTTATAATAAACATTACTTGTAGCCTGCTATTTTAACAAAATTAATCTGGGCGGATCAAGAGCTCATGTTAAATGTAAAGCGAAAAAAAAAGGTTTTATAGTAATTACTATAATGCAAAATACAGCATTACATTTTAATGGTGTTTACAAACAGCCAACGCAATAAATGCAGTAGTTTGTTTCAAATTCAATTATCTTAAGAAACTAGACGTTTAAGTTATTGAGCTTAGGGGCAAAAAATATGACGAACACTGACAGGCAATTTCTTTCATGCAACCCTTGTAAATTGGTAGATTGGGTAGTCTATGGTGTCAAAGTTTAGGTAATTAAATCTATATTTATATATACCATTTTGCTTGCATTTTATTTAACGGATAATAGATCATCGGTCGCATCACGCCAGAACTGACAGATGTATAAAACAATATTCAAGCTTTCACGCTTGTTTCACACACGACTGATATAATCGGTCAGTTCGTCGAGTGCACTTACTCCGCGGACCAATTATTCCAGCCTAATTATTATTTACATGCTAATCATGAACCGTTTTATAATAAAAAGAAAACTAAAATTAGTACATGATAAAAACCATTGGCAACCTAAAGTAAATTGACAATGACTGCCCAAAAACTTGAAATTAAAACGTGCTGACTAATTTTGGTCGGAGATTAATTTAAGTATGTAAGTAGGAGTCTGAAAGTGGAACCAGTAATGGAGAAACTGAAAGGAAAGCGTTTGACCTGATACGGACATGTTACGAGAAGGGATGAAATGAATCTAAATAAGAGAGTAATGGAGATAAATATCGTTGGAAGGAGAGCAAGAGGACGGCCACAGAAAAGGTGGATAGACTGTATGAGGCATTATATGAAAGTAAAGGGTGATAAGATGACGGCTGACAGAGAGGAATGGAAGAAGAGGACACATGCGCCTCCACATCTGGAAGATGATGACTAAAGTTAATCATACTTTTTATAATAAGACCGGAGGAGCTAAAGTAACCTATTTACCTTTCATCCCTGTAAGGTCTGCCGACATTCCTCCAGCCGGTGTTTTGTCCATAACCGGAACTGAGGTCGGACCGGTAACCGGTGTTGTCGTAGCCTGTCCCCCGATAATCCAGCGGGTCCCGGTAACCGGTGGTGTAGCCTACATTCTGCCAACCGCTCTCTGAATATTGCGGTCTACAATGGGGAATACAATTCGCATTTCTTTTAATGTTAATTTTTCTTTGTTTTTTGACTTTGGCTAAAGCAGTATAAAGATACTGCTGGTATTTCGGAACTAGCTTTCCAAAAACATCTTTTATTTTGATATTATTTGTTACTGAATTAGTCAATACCAAAAGCGTCATTATATTAATATTAATTAATTTCCATTCATAAGCGGAATAAACATTAAGATCTTTTGTGAAGTAATCAAAGAGTCTGAGCACCACAAGATCCAGTAATTAATATATTTCTTATGTACGGTTGCACAAACGTCCATTAAGGTTTAATGACGCCTATAAGTTCTAATGAATGTCAAATTTGTATGGGTAATGTCGCCTTAAATTAATGATATTTTTAAAGGACGTTTGTGCAACTGGCTGTTAAAATTCTCTAGTGCAGCAGTTTCTAAAAATCTTTTCTATAATGTTATTAAACCTCCGTACGACTTTTAGGTTTTTTAAAAATCATCTTCAGTGACTTCATTTCTAGTATTTTAGATTTTTAATTTGAATAAAACAAGGATATGGCGTATTTTGTATGACAGTTAAAACTCCCCAAAAAAATTTAAAATTATAAAACACTTGCTGATTTCTCGCGACTTCGTCCGCGTAAATTATAGCCTACGTCACCTGCGTATAATGTTAGATGTAACTTCGTATAGATGGGAAGAATTTCAAGATCGGTTCAGTAGTTTTGGAGCCTATTCGCTACAAATAATGAACGACCTTTGTATAATTTTAATAGATGTTAGAGGAGCTCGATGGCGCAGTGGCTAGTGCGCGCAGTATCATCATCATCATCATTTACGTCCCCACTGCAGTTGCTCAGGCCTTCCTTATGGATGGTTAAGGAGGATGGGCCATGACCATCCACGCTGGCCCAATGCGAATAGAAGGGTATCAATGACTACAAATGTTACCAACGGCTTAACGTGCCTTCAGAAGCGGTGGCGTAGTGGATAAGCGCCGCGGCCCGCGATCGTTGTCTTTAAGCAACTTTTGCAAGGGTCGGTCATGGGATGGGGGACCAAAAAAATATTATCTCGAGCTTCTCCGTATTTCGGAAGGCACGTTAAGCTGTTGGTCCGGCTGCATTTCTAGTCGTTAATACCCTCTAATCCGCATTGGGCCAGCGTGGCGGGTCATGGCCCATCTTCCTTAACCATTCATAAGAAAGGCCTGAGCCCCTGCAGTGGGGACGTGAAAGAGCTGATGATGTTGATGAAGATAATTGAATTCAATATGATTCAATCTATAGGGAAGACTTGAGCCCCAGCAGTAGAGATATTATTAATGTTAGATGTTACCTAGCATATTCAGGGCGACCCCACGCTGTAGAAGGCGCAGGGGCGGCGTCAGGGCGACCTGACGCGAAGTAGTACCCGCGCCCGCCCGCGTCCCAACCAGCCTGCCCGCGGTAAGTCTCATCCCAAGGCCTGAAACTGTATTATACGATACCATATTTATTTATTATAACGATACATTATCAGTCGTAAGAATAAACTTTACTGTTATAGAAAAATACAATATGGATCACAGATGGATGCTGTCTGGATAAAAAAAAGAAATTCTTATTATATTTGATCAATTTCGCATTTATAATGCTATACTGAAATATGAAAAATATTTTTAATAAAAAATGTTTAAAAATGTTTTTTTCATTAAAAAGAAATTATATTTAACAGCAAAATATTAGATACCTACGTATTTATTTGCTCCATTTAACAAGATATGACTTAGATAATAGACATTAAATTCCAGAAGTGAGGGCCCGCTACGTCACAATTACGTATAAATGATTTGTAACCTACCCTTTGTATGGTGGCACGTCATGCGTTTCAATTCAATGTATTCTCATAATTTATTGATAAGGCAAAAATAAACTAAAAAGTTTTTAATATACTTTAATAATTTACCCAACAGACTGACAAACAAAAATAAGTCATAATCCATATTAAGGGTCAATTCTTTGTGTATTTAATTTAATTTAAATAAAAAATGTTATATTATATCTAATTGTAGTAGAGGCATCTGAACCATGTGAATAACTACTGTTTTTTAAATATTTCTCATATAAATTAGATATGATTTAATATACTTATCAATCATACATTTTTTGTGTATCCTTAAAAATATTCAGTCTCAATTTTTACTGACATGAAATTGGGTTACCATAAACAAGTTCTTCGACCTCAGTACGTTACCTATTTAAAATTCGTACGGTCAGAAATCTGAGAGTCACTGACCGCTATTTGCCAGGGGTACTCACCCGCACGCGGTCAACTCGAAAAAAGGTGACGGGGAAAAAAATACAAATACCGTTCGCAAATTAAATTTCAACAATTCAAAAGTAGCGGTAGTATGTTCGTTGTAATGACATTGTAACGTGTTGTTTAAATTGTAACGTGTTGTATTAACATTGTAATACAAATTACATAATTTTTAAAATTATGTCAATAGACTAGGCTTGGGATATTAAGGGTCAAACTGAAAGTTCTTAGAACTGGCCACTTATAAACAATAAAATAAAAAAATAATTCTAAAATTTGAAAATATAACTCTTTGCCAATATTACTGGGTATATATTTCATTCATTTGTCATTTGTTTTACGATTTGGCGGCAAATTGAAAATTGTCTGTGTCACGTCATCATGAATTTAACACGAGAAAATTTTCGTGCAATGATTTTTTATGACTTTCGATGTCATTTAAGTCAACAAGAAAGTTATGATAGACTACGATTGGCCTTTCACGATGAAGCCCCATCTCGTGCGACTGTTTACAACTGGTTTAATGAGTTTAAACGTGGTCGCACTAATCTCACTGATGATTTACGTGAGGGACGGCCTTTTACGGCGACGACTGAAGATAACATCTGTGTTGTGCGGCGTATGATAGAGACTGACAAAAGAGTGACCTATCAACAGATTCGGACAAGCTTAGGCATCGGTATGAGTCAAGTGCACAAAATCCTCCACGAACATTTAGCGGTCAGGAAGCTTTGCGCCCGGTGGATACCTCATAATTTGACTGAGGCTCAAAAACTCCATCGTGTGGATTGGTGTCGTAAAATGATTGAAAGATTTAACGGAGGTGACTCAAATGCTGTGTTCGACATACTAACAGGTGACGAAAGCTGGATTTACTGTTATGATCCTAAAACCAAAAGACAATCTGCTCAGTGGGTGTTTCCTTTCGAGGAGTTGCCAACTAAAGTGAAGAGAGATCGAAGTGCGGGAAAAAAAATGGTGGCCTCGTTCTTTGGAAGGATAGGTCATTTTGCAACAATTGTGTTAGAGGATCAAAAAACAGTTTCTGCAGAATGGTACACTACCAATTGTTTGCCACTTGTCTTGGAAAAAGTTCGAGAGAAACGACCTCGCAGTAGGATCCTCCTTCACCACGACAACGCCTCGTCGCACACCGCCAAGCGAACGATCGACTATTTGGCGACATCAAACGTTGAATTACTGGGTCACCCGCCGTATAGCCCCGACCTCGCGCCTTGTGATTTTTATTTATTTCCAAAAATTAAAGAAAAACTTAAAGGAAAGCGGTTTATGAATGCTGAAGAAGCGGTGGCTGCGTATCGCGATGCAATTGAAGAGACCCCTAAGGACGAGTGGGCAAAGTGCTTTTCCCAGTGGTTCCATCGCATGCAGCGGTGTATTGACGTGAATGGACAATATTTTGAAAAGATATAATAAAACTAATAACTGGCTAATGTAATCAGTTTTTGATTTTCTAAGAACTTTCAGTTTGACCCTCGTATTACCTTAATTTTTAGAGAAAACTCTTGTTAAAATAATCTGTCGGAATACCTTATTATATTATGACGGTATACCTTATTATATATGACTGTAGAAATTAAATAATTTGGTTTTTAAAAAAAGAGTACCAACTGCTACTTAATAGTAATTTCAAATTTAGGTTAAGTTTTCACCATCAAATATTAATGTTTATATTAATTTGTATTTTATTTTCTTATAATACATACCTACATATGATTAATTGTACTCACAGACATCATAAATGCACCGGTTTCGATTTGAATTAATCAAACTTCCTTTAAATCCAGGTGGTTTATATTATTAACTTTAAAATACCGATGGTGTAAATGTTCGGTCTGCGATGCGGAGTTAAGCAACTTTAGCAAAGGTTGGTCAAAGGATGGGTGACCAATAAATTATTAACCTCGAGCTTCTCTGTACTTCGGAGACAAGCTGTTGGTCCCGGTTGTAAGTTTGTTAACATGCACTAAGCCGCATTGGCCATGCGCGATAGGTCGAGGCCCATCCTCCCTATATGATTGGTTTCTATCCATAAGGTAGGCCTGTACCCCAAGTGGGGAATTTGATATGGTGGTGAAGATAGCTACTACACAAAAAAAATGAAAACATGACATAGTTTATGCCATGTTTTTATTTTCGCACATCTGCAAAAGAAATGAACTTCAAACAGCTCGGATTATTTTTAAACCTTTTTTTAATATAAAAACATTAGTTCTAGTTTTTAATTGGTGTAAATTAAAAAATATTGTGTTTTAAATAAAATCTATATTACAACGTGTCCATTTCACTACAATCACGACTCATGTATGTGTAAATTACAACAGAACGCCTCATTTGTAATTCAACGTACGACGGAACAATAATGTTCTGTCACAATACCCAGTACAATATGTCCATGTATGGTTAGCATAGTTCAGTTCATCTCATTGAGCACACGAATTTCGGTGAAAGCGTATCTCGATTGATAGAATAGGTAAAGTAATCGAAATTACCGCCATAACGGCGTCGATTTCCCGTTGAACTTTTGCAAATGATACACCTATTCGCAGTGTGTATCATTTAGAGTACAGTTACACTAATGATGTGTTTTGACCTAAAACTACGATGATTGATACCGAACTTTTTTCGGATGTAATTTTTTGTTGCAGTACAATTACTTTTATGGGAATCTGCTATGTAGTTAAAGTCTGTTCTAGAATTATCCTAGCTGATTACTATTGCCGTATGTCAGTTGATGGATAGCTAGATAAAACTTTTTTAATTACACAACACAGAACATAACTTTTACCGTTATAGGAAACAAACATTATCATTGTACATGATAGAATAATGTTCACATAATATGTATGATTTTTTATTTTAATTCTCAATACGAAAGAATAAATAAATTACAATATTTTGCATTAAAACTTTTTATTGTATTGTACTTCATACACTTTTATTTTAATAAAATCAAGCATTTTTAATAAGTTCATTTAAAGCGAGCAGAATGTGCTATGTGCGTCATTGGCTGGTTTACAGATAATTAAGTAGATTTTTAACTAAATTTCAAGTGTAAATTTAACTTACTTCATTACGTGTAAACCAGCCATATTAACAAGTAAATAATAAATCGAAGCTTAGTGAATGTCCCGTCTTACCGGCTGTGGACTTTAAGAAGTATAAAGTATAAGTTGACAATTTGATAAAATTTGTTTGCATAATCTACAGTCAACATTGCGTCAGACTATATAGAACTGTAAAATTTCTCCATTTGATTTTACACCTTAATTTACTGATGTGCGAGTAAAGTATAAATCACTTACGAAACCTTGACATATTATGGTAGTCTGACGTGTAGCCGTGTTTACATGATTTAAGGAAATGCAACAAATATATTAGAAATGCAATTCAACAAATACATTAGAAATGATATAGTAGCGCGACTAAAACGCCTATAGTAGTTGACGGGTTTTTGACCATTTTCAGAGTATGACCATTTTAAAAGTTAGAAAGAAGTGATCTTTGATACATGGCAATGGTGCTTTGGCATAATTCAACATTTTGAGGTACGTCTATGGTAAAATTATATATATGCTTACATGTAAGTTCGAACGACTAACTGTTCGCTGTACAAATGTCAATTAAAATTGTCATTAGTTTAAAAAAAAATTACCGACACAAATTTTCCAATTTCATACGTTGATTAGTTTAAAGTCGTTATTTTAATCTTAATGAACATTTGTGCAATTATGAGTGCCAAGGGGGCTTGAGATCAGAATCGGGTTATTAGTATTATATGAAAGCAGTGTCAGGACTCACCTGTCATGCGGGCCTCTGCCGACACCAGGTCCGTATCCACCGAACGAGTCATCGTACGCCCCAACTCTATCGTATCTGTCTGCATACGCCGGTCGTCTATAAGTTCCGTATCCGTAACCATCAAATCGACCACCGACACCGGTATTCCTATCGCCATAACCATCATCGTACCTGTCGTACAACGGTCTTCTTTCCCTATAGGAGTCATCGTACGCTGGCCTGTCATATCTATCTCTATCGTATCTATTGTACCTGTCCCCTAAGAATCTATCGTAATAATCGGGCCTGTATCTATCTCTGTCATCGTACCTATTCCTGTCCCTGTCTCTATCTCTATCTCTCCTGCCTCCAGATGACGGCCGTCTATCTTTATCATCATATTGATTCTTGTCTTTACTAGCTTCATCTTCGGTTCCATTCTTTGTGTTAGTTCTATCGGTGCTATATCTTCTATCGTCATCGTCTTGATCGCCTTTGTTTCTGTCGTATCTGTTACCGTATGTCGGTTTATGATTTCCTCGTCTGTCGTCATCGAATCTGTCCCGGCGTCTATCGTAGTCGTCATCGTCTCTGTCGTCTTGACAGCGTCCGCAACGGGAAGGCCGGTCGTACTCAAGCCTTTCGTAGGGGCGGCCGGTGCCGTACCGTGTGTCATAATAGCTACGGGACTGTCTGATGAGCTTTATATCATCCGCTGGGGTCAACACTGCTGATAAAACAGTGTCAGCTTCTATCGTTTCGAAGTGAAATATCGCTACGCATGCTGATAATATCTGAAACAGAAATGCCGTGATTAATATGAGAAAATACTTCACTAAATTATTGTTTTAGTTAATTTAAATTTAATACAACGTATTTGTATAATCTCCGGATTCAATTTTTCCGGTTCTAATTATAGTTATCGGTACGAATCACGCGTATTGTCACGCGACGTCTAATTAAAGGAACCTGATACCAAGGTATGTAATGCTAGAAAAAATTGTACATTTTTGTAACAGTGCATACCATCGAGTGCCATACTTCCTCATTGCTTACGTTTTGCTCCTTGATTTTATTCCTAGGGTTTCTAAATCCAAACATTTTATTTCTTGGATTTTATAAGTCATTTTCCCTTAATTCAAATTTATTCTTTCAAGTCGCTTCCTTAGTCACGGCCGGGGCCGCCCCGATGTATGAAAGTTAAGCAAAAGCAAAAATGTCCGATTATTACTATAATTTATGGTGAAACGGAGGTAGGACACTGTCTACTGTCTCTGATCTCTAGGAACGATTCGAAATATTTTGAATTTCTTCTCGTGGACAAACAAATGCTACAAAATGCCCTCTGATTTGCTACAAAATGAAGTTTCCAGCAATAAGTCTCTTTTAAGATGGTGGTAGTGGTAAAATTAATGTTTTTTTTTTATTTATACATATATGACTGTGAGTTGAAATAAATTTCAATGAATGGATGGAATTTATATATTTATTATTATCCATTTATAATAGTCGTATATTTTAGTTATTGTCTTTTTATTGCTTTTTTTTTAATTCATAATTATTTTTTTAAAGCGATCACGAATTATTAGGGTTAAAACTGAAAATCAGTGTTTTGTTCTTTGAGTAAATACGCACTGAGTTTTCGCCCATTTGCGTCACTGCGGCAGCCGTGCTCACAAGTTGTTAATTAGTAACATCTTACTTTATACTATTTTTATGTAACTAAGTGTGTGTATGTGTGTATGTATGATACAAATAAAGAATGTATTATTTATCTATCTAATAATGTTTAATAATAACAGCACAAAACGATACTAACTGCGCACCTAAAATTACATGAGAGCAACCAGGTCGCCCTGCTAGTATAGGTACACTTTAAATTATCGCTTGATGGTTATAATGATAAGCCTGTCCATCATTCTCATTCACAGTTAGTCGAGTAATAACCAGTTCTTGTTGTGTGTTTATAAAAAAGATGTTCAGTAGCGATTGGAAATAAGATAATGTTTTTACTGTATACTGTTTTTTAATCAGCTGTAAATCATATTTATTTTTAGACGTAGTAAACCTTAAACTACGCTTCGTAGTGGTTAAATACTGGGATCACCCTGAAAGTTACAAGAATAGACCAGTAATGGCTGGGCTGAGGAGAATTGCTGTTAAGGTGTTAATGAAAGTAGGGCCCTATCCCATGGGTAGCCCCACCCCTATTCACAAAGGCTAGTTATAGAAATCGACGATATATCAAGAGATTCGAGCAAGTTTAATCATTACTATCTTCTTCTTCTTCCTGCGGGCGTCTCCGCAACTCGACGTCAAATGCATTACTATAAGTCGGGTACAAGTAAAATTAGTGTATGTTTACATAAGAAACTAGCCAAGTGCTAGTCGGACTCATGAACGTAGGGTTCCGTACCGGATTTGAGCTAAAAATCATGTTTTTTGTATGGGAGCTCCCTTAAATATGTATTCTATTCTGGTCTTCAGTGTTTGCTGTTGAAGCGGCAACAGAAATACTTAATCTGTAAAAATTTTAACTAACTGTCACGGTTTATGAGACACAGCCTGGTGAAGGCCAGACAAACAGCGAAGTCTTCGTAATAATCTTTGGGTACGGAACTCAAAAAACCTCTTAAGGCCATTGCCCAATGGTCTTCAACATTTGCTCACTACTCTTCAAGACTCTCAAATTATGTACATAGACTATAATTCCCAAAGTTCCCAAGTTGCTTCCGCGCGTAAAACATTTTAGGCTTTTCTTTATTGTTTAAAAGATGATAGACATTATAATATAAACAATATGAATAGGGATGATGACTGGGTAAAAAAAATGCAATTCTAATTAGTCCGTCAGTCAGATAATAGAAAAATATTAGATACGTATTTTTTTTACTTCAATTTAACAAGAAATAGCTTAGATAATAGGCATTAAAGTTGAGGAGTGGGGGCTCGCTACGTCACAGTTGAGTAGAAAACGTACTCTAACATGACGTCATGCGAAATTTCAACTCAATGTAACGCCGTAATTTTATGATTACGAAAAAAATAAAAAAATACGTGTTTAATATTTTTTAACACTCTACATGACGGACAAACAAACAAAAATTAGTCATCATCCCTATTGTAAAAGGTTATGTCACCTTTTTCTGGCTGCAAAATTAATAAGATTACCAATATCCACTACTAACATTCTCAATTATCCGTTGTGTAGTTTTAAAGATTTAAGCACACATAGGGACAAAAAAGCGACTTTGTTTTATACTATTTAGTGATAACTCTGGATGTTGAGCGTGCATTAATTCTTGTTTATAAGGGTACACTGCACTGGTACATAGCTCCACTATGTAACTCTCTTAAGTCGTAAAAATTACGTAGGGCTATCACAGCACAGAACAGTGAATAAAACAAGAGTTTCAAATTAGTCCCTTCCTGTGTGAAGCATCATGGCATGGCAATTATTAGGCCGTGGCCTTCATTTTGGACTTTTCGCTTTGCCAGAGATTTTTGTTTCATAATTACGTCACACTATTGTATTTTAGAGGTCGTATGTTAATTCTATAGGACACAAGTAGATAAACTATTATCATTTGGTGAATTTTATTTGTTTTTTTATTATTATTATAATCGTATTATATGAAACTGGGAAATGAGTAATGAAGGTCGTATGATTCAGTCCATTAATTTAGGATGTAGGTGATAACTAAATGTAACCTTAGAGTCCATTATTCTAAACTAGGCTTAACACCAAACCTGATGCAGTTCAAATGTACCACTAAAAAGAAGTGCCACTCGGTACTTCTTAAGTAAATAGTATTTTCTTCGTCTTATTTACAGTTTCAGAAAAATGTTAAATTTTCGAATTATAAATATTATCTAGTTCTCGTTTTTCTGAATCTGAATTAATAATTAATGTAAAATAATGAGTGTATTGAATCTTTTTTCACAGTAAACTATTAATTTAAATGCGTGAAATTTTTATTTATTCATGTAAAGCTTCCTGTTTTTATTTATGATACTTTTGAATCAGTCATTTTTTTTTCTATAATACTTTCAAGATGGTTGATATTAAGAAACTGAGGGGCAAATTATTGTTTCAGGGCTGACAAAATAAGTAACTACTTATGTGAGAGTTATGGGTAACAGTGGAATGAAACATTAAGTAAGATTAGTGTTAAAAAAGTGATAGAAAACTTTATTCAGATAAATATGTCTGCATAAAAATAATATTCTCTTTTAAATTATATTTGGTTCTTTGGGTTTGTAACCTCCTGACTGAACTAAACGTTAAATTTATTATAAGGTTAAAATAAGTACTAATCAGGAAAACATTAAATTGAACCCAAATCTAGTTGATCTGTCAAAATAAAGTCCAGAATAATCTGTTTGGACAGATGTCACCAGACCAATCTGATTAGTCTTGTATTAGACAGAACATCCTGATTGGTCTGCGACAGTTGATCTGTTAGCCTAAGAGGCTAGTCAGGACTTTAATTACGCGGTAGAGCCGCAAATAGGGAAAGATTTGCGGCTCTCTCAATTAAAGCTTAAAGATGTTGTTTTACTATGCGCAACGCATTCCACAGTCAATGTTAAAAGCAGCTTGACATATATTGTTAAATTTGAAATAAACCTTAACTTTAACTGCAATTATAGTGCAACCGAGACTCAGTAATAGTAACAACTCGAGTTATGACAGCATCCAACCATTGACAAATGATAACTGATTATTATTTGCTTAACCGGTACTAAACTACCGGTTAACAAAGTACATACATCTTTGTTATTGTCAGAGTAAGTTGGTGCAACTGACCCTTAGTAATGTTAAAATTATATTATGCATCAGATAACCTCGGTGGCCCTACGGTTTAAGGTGTAAATTTTAATTTTATCGGTTACACGTTAAATTACTAATTATATGCAATAAAACCATATATTCACTGTGTTAATGGGCCATTAACTTATAATTACACACACATTATTCACATGAGCATTATACAGCTATTTAGTGTAAGATTACAATTTTTTTCTACTTAACGCAATATAATTACTATATAATGACGTCGCGGACAATAGACGAAAGGTTATGGGAATCATTTTAAAACTGCAATTTTATATTTTATTTAAATAAAGGAGTCGGTCGATGTCTTTATGGTTAATTATTTAGCTTTAGGTAAGTATTTATTAACTCTTTATGGTTAACAACAACAACCAAGTACAGCCACCATGCCATCATCACATTTATGATGGTGCAAATCTCTCTGAAGATCCGTCAAGTGTATTAAAGGAAGTACTTATATAAAGAAATTCTTATGAGGACCGTAACGTGTCCCATAAAGCCAGTTAATGAGGATAACGAATTACGCGACAAAAACGGTTTTTAATCAATAACTAATTATTATAAAATACTATTATTAAAGGGTTGTTAGTTACTTCGGTTAAAAAAGTCACTCACATAGCTATAAATTTTCTCAATAACTTTTTATTGCACAATAAGTACTAAAAATTGATGATTTTTAGGGGCAAATTTGTGATTTTTTCTATAGAGAAAATTGTATTAATTGACGTTTTGGTTGTGATATAATCCTTAGAAATAGTCATATTATCATTCCTTAATTTGAATTACTGCTTATTTGGTCGTTGTTTATTTGTACAAAATCAGTTGAACGTAAGCAACTTGGGTATACGCGTCCTCTAACATTATTACCCTAAAATAAAATCGTCAAACTGTACCTATCACTATTATTTTAAAAATTGTATACCAATATGCATACACTCGGTAGTCAGTACCCTGTCGGTAGAGTTTGATTTGAAATATAGTGCAGAGTAAGAGCGATAAAGCAATAATTCCTTTCGCGGATAAAAGTAGATACTACTATCTATAATTTATGGTACAAATTATATCTTCCTCGCTCTTAATCTTTGCACTATGTCATTAAAAAAAAACTCTACTGGGCGCCGATCGCCGCAACTGTACAAGCAAGATCCCTTGCAGGGAAGGCGGAGAGAACCAAACGCCAAAATTATAACATAACACACGTGTTCTGTTATAATTTTGGCGGTGTTATAATTTCCTTTACATTCATAGCTATTTTCTACATGCTCGTCGATCATTTTTGCTTCTACAATCTTTAATGTAATGGAAAAGGACTGCATATTCCAATGAAGTCAGTTTGTAATTTCAATTAAACATTTCTGAAGCGGCCGTTACTGAATTTCTTGTCGGTTCTTCTCAGTACAAGGTCTCCCGCCATAGATTTGCGAACCAATGGCATAACTTTTGACATTCATGAGTGCTTGTAACAGCCTAGATTGAATCAAAGATATTTGAATATCTGAGATAACTTTATTTTTTTTATTAAATCCCTTCTAGCAACCACACATCGTACAATGAAACCGAGACGTAAAAAAAAATTAAAAATTTAACCGCTCGTAAGCTGTAGAGCTTTATTACCTACATAAACATTGGCGCCATAGTCGTAAATGGTGGTACAGTTAACAAATTAATAGTTTGAGCAAATATTAAATTAATCTTTTATGAGTTAAGTATGTTTTGACACAGTATTTAATAATACGGTATAGGAATATCGAATTAAGGACTCAAAACTACATTTTAAAGTTACTCTTTTAAATATTTTATGAGCACAAAATATGTAGATGCCTAAATGATTTTTGAAAATATAAATTATTATTATGTATAATTTCTTTCTCGCTTTTATTAAAAATATTTTGAATGCAATGACGATTTAATTTATTAATTTGTCATTATGAATTAGATACGACATCAAAATTGTCTTTATTTGACGTGGGAACGATTTATTATTCAACATAGTAAAATAAATGTCCAAATCAAACTATATACCTTAATAAAGTTAAAGATTATTTTTTAAATAACTTACCAGAAAAATGAAGCGTTCCATTTTGAAACAATTTAGTTTTTAACACCAAGTTATAAAGTCCATCCCTTGTTTTAAATTGTACAACACTTCATTCGAAAACCTGTTTAGTTTAAAAAAAAATAAAACAAACTATCGTGCGGTTTACATTCTTCTGACTGTAGCTAAAAAAAGTAAATTCGAATTTCAAATTTGAAATATCTTTTTTTTAATATGAAGGAGATGCGCACTGTGGATCGCGCGGCCGCATGCTTTGTACTGACCGGTTGCGTATGCGCACCCGCTTATAATAATTATGGCAATTGTTGTTTTTTGTCTGTCCATCCGTCTATGTAGGCTCATAAGCTAGAGATGATGAATGATTCTGAAGGCTACTGGTTATATCCTTGATGTCACCATTGAGTTAAAAAGCTTGATTATTATCTTGAAAATATTATACTATAAGATATCATATATATTTTTAGATTTATTGATAAAGGTATTTGTTTCATGACAGTTTTTCTATAAAGAGTACACCTTTTGGACAATGCAATGAGTTTCTTTTGGACTTCGGTAACTAGTACACTTTTTGGAGTTTGGTAGGTAATAGTATTGGCCGACTCGCATTTTATAAAAGAGGTCAGTTTTAAAACCGTTATTTACAATAAAAAACCATAGCCTTCGAAAATTTCAATTTCCTCCTGCAAATACAAATAATGTAAATAATTAATTATCATGCCAATTAAGTAATTCCCAAAAGAAATAACTACGGCCTGTCTAATTTAATTAACGTTACCTCCGTGTGTCGACCGCTACTTCATTTTTTACTGTTTCAATTAATTTGTAAATTCAATACAAAAAAGTTTTAATCATATTCTAACAGTTAATTCACTTATTTATATGGGAGTAAATAATACTTAAAGTTGTAATCATTAACATTATTTATTAATGACAGAGTTTACGCAGGTATGTAACCGTTTATTTCGTGCAAGGTTCCCGCATCCAAACTTTTTGTCTATGATCTTAAACATAATTTATTTTTCATTAGTTACTTTCGTAATTTGAAATTGAGTGTATCTGAGTATCAGTTCGTGAAAATTCATTCAATGAAAACATGGCATCAATTTGATAGATGAAAAAGAAGAAACAGCTTTTCCTGTAACAGAACTGTTACACCACAATTTTTTCATTAAAATCACGTAGTCACAGACGTAAGATGGCCGAATATTGTAAGTACTTTACATAAGATATTAATGCCAAACGGGATACAAGTGGCTGTGTGTGGCTGAGCTGAGTTGTGAGAACAACGTATGTTACAACAACGTAACTTTGAATGATCCCGTTTTTCGTTTGTGTAGAGTTTATCTTGAAATGTGATCTTAAATAATGTAATCTTACCTATATATTGTCTAATATAATTTGATACTATTAAGTGCTGTGCGTAGCTATAATCGAGGGATAAACTTAGTTCTATACTAAAACATTTTGTGATCTTATATTGTATGGTTTGTTTTCAATAGCTGTACCTTTTTATAAATAAATACACATAGGGCTTGCAATCCCTCAGCCTGTAATATCTGCGTTACACGATTTCGGTACCCGTTAAACTGATAGCTGGAATGAATAGGTAATGAGTCACAGATAAAATGTTCCAAATATATGTGGTATCCATCACGTCTAGTTTTCGAGGTACATGTCAATCATTATTTTAAACTCTCACTTTAGGAGTAAAAGAAACAGTTGAGGTTTTCGATGTATTATACTTTTTTTATTGTTTTGTTTTATTAATAAATCGTTTCTATTCGATAACCTCGATATCTCTAAACATATTTATTTAAAAATCCAACATGAATACTGAACTAAGCCGTCGCGACTGTAAAAATGAACCAAATAAATAAGTTTTCTTATGTTTGTGGACAGTACAATTTTTTTCAGTTTTCATAAAAGTGAGAAGTGCATATTTACTTTATTTTGCATGTGTAAATCAAGATAAATTATGGATACCACAGTTTTTTGTGTTACATGCTATGCTACTCTCATATCTTGGTTAAATGGACACAAGACGTCAATGCCATTTGCCGTACCAGCTTTATGGCGTGGACCTAGTAATCATTTTTATGATTGCTACTTTTGGATGACTGACATACGTGAATTTTCAAAAGAAAATCAAGCACATCATTTAGTATCCTGATATTCCTTTATATTTGAAACAAATACCTCACAAAGAAGAAATGCCTCCTCCATTACCTCATACAAAAGATGAAATTGGGATTTCAGAAGCGCAAGATATACCAAATGTTGTAAAATATAATGACGACAGACGCCTGGTTATCACTGTTAAATAATTTTTAGGGAACCATAGAGCCGAAAATGCGGAACAGCTACTTAACTATATGTTAAAAGCATACGCAAAGTTGGGTTGTAGAATGCCGTCAAAAATTAACTTTCTTCATTCCCACTTTCCTTTTTTCTATCTAATCTTGGTGCTGACTGTCATGAGAGGTTCCACCAAGATATAAAGAAGCTTGAAGGACGATTTCTAGGCCATTGGGATACAACTATGCTAGGCGATTACTGCTGGCGTCTAAAATGAGAAGGTCCTTCAAAACACAAAAGATAAAGTAAAAATATAAAGGTATTCTGGGTTTAAATTGTATGCATTGATTTTTCTTGTATTTTTTATACCAAAATGATAAAAAATAAACTCGATTAATGAAAAATATCTTGTACATTTTATTAGATATCTTTAAATTATGTTTGAATCTTTAAATTTTTAGTGTAATTTGTCATATCCTCACGGAAAAAAAATGAGACGTCATAAAAAGAAAATATGTACTGTATTCTTACTAAACGATAGGAATAAATAGGAAAACATGACATTTCATAGCGGGTACTTAATATTTTTTTTCATTTGTAACGCAGAGTCTCGTAAATCTCGCGGATCCCGCTCATGTAATCCCGTAACATAGGATTGGACTAAAGTTGCGGGATCCCGCAATACGGAAAACACGGTATTCCGAGATTGGAAGCCCTACATACATAGTTACTTTTGGATTTGTGTCATCACACAGATTGATGACTCAACGAATACATTTTTTTTATTTTATTACACTTTAATTTGTGTGTGACTTATTGTAGGATGTTAAACGCAAAAACTAAAACAATTTCGTGAAGCACACCCGAACTTTGACTTGTAGGAAGAGGAAGCACTATTGTTCTTGCTTGCACGCTGTTTCCATTGTTTCGTAATGTAGATTTATTAATGAAATTAAATTAAATTAATAAATTTTCTGCAACACTATTTTATAAATAGTATGCATTTAAGTTATCTTAGTTAAACCTAGTATTGATCTTAATGTTATTTGAAAATAGGAAGCGGATTAAATAATTGTAATATGCAGTGTTAAAAAACACCATTTGTTTTTATGCTATTCTGTTCAAAACAAACTGGTCATTGAGCCCAGGGCTGTCATATCATTGAGGTTTAATGAAATAAAATCTTTATTATCTCTTGAAGTAGGTTCAAAAAATAGCAGGTTTGGATAATGACAGCGTTGCGCCCGATGATGAGTTCGAGGCTGTTTTTAATAACAAAATAGCACTGCACATCGCTGACTGATTATGATTAATTAGGATAGATTAAAGTAATAAAATAAAACCGACTTCTGCACATCGCTGACTGATTAATAAGGATAGATTAAGTAATAAAATTGAACCGACTTCAAAACTAAAAAAAAGTGAAAAATAATGATTATTTTAAAAACGACTGATTTAAGAAAATAGTGTTTAAGTCGGGCGGAGGTTTTCTGTAGGTCATTAATTAAATGATAGGCGCCCGACATCTATACAATTTTCTTGAATAAGTCGCTTTTAAGATAAGTATTATTTTACATTTTTTTAAGTTTGAAGCCGGTTCTATTTTTTTATTTCATGCTTTTTGGTGATATTTATTTTTTTATATAATACTTTTCTGAAAACCGCGTCACAATTAGTCAAACGCGAAATAATCGTGGACAATATATACAACACGTTAAAGTGCGAACCTGCAATTTTAGTCGGTTAATATATCTACAACCTTCTCCTAGTCTAAGGCTATGCTAAAAACCGCATCAAAAGCCAAACGCGAGATAATCGCGCACAAACATACATACTTACATGTCAAACTGAGAAACTCAATTTTTAAGTCAGTTAATAACCTTAATTGAGGAAGGTTTTGTACTACAGCAGACAAAAACAGTGTTTTTTTTTTTATTATTCAAAAGTACTCACATACATTTCTTTGTTCAAAATCAATTTAAAGCTAGTGATTTTCATTTTAAGCGCCCTCTAAATGTTTTATTAAGTTGTAATTAACTCAAGCCTAGAGTTAATTATTGAAGACATTGGAATTTAATCAAATTTTAAGCATACATGTACTCCTAAGTTTATGCACATGCAATTGTATATTTGCGAAGAGGTTCAATAGAATGAATGAATAAGTATTTATTCATCGATACAGTCAATTATTGAAGATACTGGAAAGTAATAAAAAAAAAATTGTGCATAGATGTAACTTTATGCACATGTATGAATTTGCAATATTTTAAAGAGGCAAAGTTTTAAATTTTTTTTAATTCTTCGCGATCTTCGGGAATACCTACTGATTATTAAATTTTTTTCACCTACGAGAAGCTACATCACACACGGGTGACATGTGCTATAATTTACGGGAGTGGAGTCGCAGGAAAGCTTGCAATAAAAAATAAATATAACAATTGTATTTATAATAATTTACCGGGCTTTTTTAACGTGCCGTACGATAATGAGAAACAGCCGTCCGTCCGAAACGTAATGGCAGCGAACCGTGACTGACACGTCATTACGTGCTTTGATAATCAACAGACCATAGACCATCGACGAACCACGGAGGTTACATGTAAATTATAACCAGTATGGAAACAATAGGCGCACCAGAATCTGATGGCAATAAAATCTCGATTTCCATATGGCAATATAAATTTTTCTACTGTTGACAAATCTCAAGTCAATGTGTTAATTATTCTAAA